GACTCAATGGCACTTAACAACAATAACAATGGGTAAAATATTGAATGATGCAGAAAACATCAAAAATAGAAAAAAATGGAAGGAATCTTGTGCTTGTCCTACAAAACCAAAAAGAAATTGGTCGATGTTCAACTATTTCAAGAGGGAGCATATAATCAATAGCCAATTGTACTTAAGGAAGAAGTCCATGGTACATTGAAAGCATTGACAATCATCAAGATTCTGGGAATTGATGGAATACAAATTGCAGTCTTTCAACAAGCTGATGCAACACTGTGCAGGCACTCATCTATGCCAAGAAATTTGGAAGACAGCTACCTGGCCAATCAATTGGAAGAGATCAATATTTGTACCCATGCCAAAGAGAGTTGACCCAACGGATTGGTGAAATCTTTGGCAATATCATTAACATTATATGCAAGTAAAATTTTGCTAATGATAATTTACAAATAGCTGCAACAGTACATTGACAGAGAACTACCAGAGGTTCAAGCCAGATTCAGACAAGGATGTGTGAAACTTAGGAAATCATTGCTAATGTCAGATGGCTCTTGACTGAAAGGAGAGAATGCCAGAAATGTGTTCGCCTTGCTTTATTGACTGTGCAAAGACTTTTGACTGTGTGGATCATGACAAGCTATAGATAACATTGTAAAGAGTGGGTATTGCAGAACACTTAATTGTGCTCCTGAGGAACACTCATAGACCAAGAGGCAATCATTCAAACAAAACAGGGACAATGTAGTTGTTGCTGTTAGTGTCATCGAGTTCGTGCTGACTTTTAGTACCCCTATATAGGATCAGCTGGTGAGTTTGAACCACTGATTTTTTGGTTCAAACTGACCTTGCAGTCCAGTGCTTATCCTACAGTGCCACACAAGAACTCTAAAAGGACACTGAATGGCCTAAAATCAGGAAAGGTGTGTACCAGGGTTGTATTCTTTCACCATCCTTATTCAATCTGTATGCTGAGCAAATAATTCAAGAAGATGAATTATATGAAGAGGACCGTGGCATCAGTATTGGATGAAGAATCATAACAACCTGTGATACACAGATGATACAACTTTGCTTGCTAAAAGGGAAGGAAGAGGACTTAAAGTACTTACTGATGAAGATCAAAGACCTCACACAGTCTTCAGTATGGATTACATCTCAGTGTAACAAAACCAAAAATCCTCACCATTCAACCAGTGAACAACATCATGATAACTAGAGAAAAGATTGAGGGTGTCAGAGACTTCATTTTCCTTGGATCCACTATCAACACTCATGGAAACAACAGTTAAGGAATCAAACTATGGATTACATTAGGCAAATCTGCTGCACAGCACGTCTTTAAAGTGTTCAAGAGCAAAGATACCACTTGGAGGATTATGTAGCACCTCATCCAAGCCATTATGTTTTCAATAGTCTCACATGCATATGAAAGTTGGATGATGTAATAAGGAAAACTGTAGAAGAATGACATATTTGAGTTATGGTGTAGAAGAAGAATATTAAAAATACCATGGACTGCCAGAAGAACAAACAAGTCTGTGTTGGGAAAAGTACAGAGAATACTCCTTAGAAACCAGGATGGTGAAATTTTGTCTCTCATACTTCGGACATACTATCAGGAGGGACCAATCCCTGGAGAAGGATATCATGCTTGTAAAGTGAAGGGTCAGTGAAAAAGAGGAAGACTCCCAATGAGATGAACTGTCACAGTGACAGCAGTAATGGACTCAAGTGTAGCACTGATTGTGAGGATGGTTGCAGGACTGGGCAATGTTTTGTTCTGTTGTGTGTAGGGTTGCTATGAGTCAGAACTGTCTCGATGGTACCTAACGGCAACACATTGCAAGGATAGTCATCTTATTTGAAAAACTTAAAACTCAAAAAAGAGTAAAAAGCAGAATTGAAATGTCAAAGGATGTTGTTAACTGCCATCAAGTTAATCTTGGCTATGATACTTTCTCCTAATAGACTTCTGCAAAAAAACAAAAAAACAAAAAAAAACTTGTCTGCAAAACTCATATGACCATAGACCAATAGCTTCAGGTTTTAAAATAGAAATTGGGATTAGGTGAAAAGTTGGTAAATACTTAAGAAATCAAATTATATATCTTCATGTCATTGACCTATGAAACAATTCTGGCTTCAAGATTCATGAGAAAAGGAAAATGTCTTATGTTTAGATTGACCCAGACATGGTACTAGGTACATGCAAATTCATAAAAATAGTCTGTGGTTGTGGACTTATGATTTAGTGTATATTTGTTGAACTAAGACTCTCAAAAAAATATCCCTAGAAATAATTTTGTTGGTGTTTCTTGAAATTGCTGAGTAGCTATCTCAGGCATTCCTTAGTCTGGACTACGCTAGGGGTATGGGTTGGGAAATCCATTATAACTATACCTTACATCTTTGTTTTCTTTTCCCTATGAAGGACTAGCCAGAGCCAAGTCAGTTCCCACAAAGACCTACTCAAATGAAGTTGTCACACTGTGGTACCGGCCTCCTGATGTGCTTCTGGGTTCCTCAGAATACTCAACACAGATTGATATGTGGTAAATATATGCAGATGTTATTTCCATGTATAGGTCTGAAAGAGCTGTAACTGTTAGTGTAGAGCATGCTAATCGATGCCCAACTTAGTATACGTGATGATTAAGAGGTCAGCTTTGGGAGTAAGATCACTTAGGATTAAATGTGAACTCTGCCACTTATAACTATACAATAACTTCATTTAAACCACTGCTCTATACCTTTGTTTCCTCATTTGAGGAAATAGAAATAGTAATTACACACACACACAAACACATGAGGGTGAGTCCAAAATGATCTTCACTGTGATTCCACGTCCACGGCTGATGACAACATTGGAGTGTACGTAAAATGATTGTGTCGAATAGACAAGTGACAGTGGATTATGTGGCACATCATTTGCAAATTAGCCATGACTCTGCTTATGAAATAACCCACCACAAACTTGGGCTTTGAAAAGTTTGTGTGTGATGGGTACCGAAACAGCTCATGGAAGAACGTACACAAACGTTTGGACATCTGTAAACAAAATTTGGACATATAATCAAAGGAAGGTAAAATTTTCTTAAAATCATTACTGGTGACAATACATGGATTCATCACTACAAGCCTACAATTAAAAGACAGAGTATGGAATGGAAACATCCTGAATCATTGACCAAAAATAAGTTCAAAAGTCAACCATCAGCTGAGAAATTGCTTAGTTGTTTTCTGGGATTCTCAAGGGCCCGTATTAGAACACTATCAGAAAAAAGGTTCAACAGTCAACCGTGCTTGTTATATAGTGAGATGCTCACTGAAGAGCAGAAGTGTGTAAACTTCGGATTGAACCTAGAGAGGACTGCTATCCAAGGGTGTTGTGATATCTTGCATGACAATGCATGTCCTCACAACTCTATTCACACTGTTGACATTTTTCAAACACTTTGTTAAAGTATCTTCTTTGTAGTCCTGATCTTGCTCCATCAGACTTGCACCTGTTCAGTCTCCTGAAAGCAGGCCTTTGAGAATGAAGATTTATCTGATGAAGAAGTAAAGACAGCAGTATGTTCATGCCTTGCAGCTCAACCTAAAATATTTTTTTAATAAGGGATCTGAAAACTTGTTGACAGATGGACAAAGTATATTGAAAAGCAAGGATATTATGTTGAAAAATGATGTGTTTGTCTTTTTAAAAGGTGATTGAAAATAAATTCTACAACAAGAGTGCAGATAATTTTGGACTTACCCTCATGCTTTGTTGTTTTGTGCCTTGGAGTTGATACCAACTCATAGCCCCCTGTATAGGGTTTTCAAGGAGTGGCTGGTGAGTTTTGAACATCCATCCTTGTGGTTAGCAGGACTGTGGTTATCCATACCAGGACTACGTGTGTATGTGTGTGTATATAAGCTTTTTTAAAGGTGGTTCTGTGAAAACTAGATGAACTAATGCATATTAAGCACTTAGGAGAGTGCCTGGTAGTAGTAATTTAAAGCAAAATTATTTTCTGTTACCATTGAAAATTACCAAAATCTACCTACTATAAATTGATATAAAAATAATTATCATAATTGTTGCTGTCTTTGGTCATGACTCAAATTCCTCTTTGCCTCCCCACTCATTACCTGTAGAAAAAGGTACCAGTTCCTTAATGTGGTACTTACAAATCTCCATAACATATCTCTATACTACACTTTCCATGTATTCAGACTATTCTGCTTCTCAAATATTCCCTTTTATTCAAACGGGCTGCTCACTGTTGTTTAAGAATACTTGGGAGTTTCTCATCATTGATCTTTTGTTCACACCAGTCTACCCGTCTTGAATGCCTAGTGACCTTATAAAGCGCATCCTAGCCACAGAGTCCTGGTGTAGTGCTGCAGTATAATGCACTGGACTGCAAGGTCACTTTGAACTGCAAAGTCGATGGCTCATCCCACCAGCTGCTCCTCAGAAACCCTATACAGGGTCGCTGTGGGTTGGAACCGACTCAGCAGCACTTAACAACAAGCCACAATGCTATAGTCGTGTATTTCCTTCTGTTATGTTTTTTATATACAATTACTCAATTGTGAGCCATTTAATGGAAGGATTTCTAGTTCCTAGAAGATAAGATCCAGTCATTGAACCACCATCCCTTTCTCTTTCTTCTCTTACACATACTCACCCTGCATCAACATAGTTCTTCTATGCTTCCTACATAGAAAATCTTTATTTATTTGCTTCTCTTTATCTCTGCTGCCCATTACTGTAGGCCACCATCACCCCCTGAATTATCATCATCATCTCTCCAGTTTCCTCTCGTCCTTTCTATCTTGCCCACTTCAGCCCATGATTCATATCATAGGTGATATGTCTGTGTACTTAAACAATTCCTGGCATATAGTAAGCATTCAATCATGATTAGATATTGTTGATGTTATTCTTCAAGGATCATGTAGAGGAGAACTGGACATTTTAAGTAGGAAACATGGGCTATAGCAATATGAAAGTTGTAACAAATAGAGCAAATGTTAACAATTTAGTTTTAGTTGGTTCTGAAAAATCTCTGTAGGAGGTTTACTAACATATGAGTACAAAATGCTCCAGAGATAAAATCTTAAGGAAAAGATTCTTGGACTTCATAATAAGTAAATGGATTTGTTTTGTTTTGTTTTTTTCTTCTGCCCTCCATGGTATATTTTAAAGGGGTGTAGGTTGCATTTTCTTTGAAATGGCTTCTGGAAGACCTCTATTTCCTGGATCTACTGTGGAAGATGAACTGCACTTGATTTTCCGACTGCTTGGTAATAGAAAAAATGTTTTCCAATGATTTGTCACCTTTCATTGTCTAGTTTAGATAGGTCATGGTGTTTATGTGCTGTGAAGACTTTAGAAAATTTTTATTTAAAAATTTGATACTGAGACTCAGGTAAATAACTGTTATTTATAGGAATTGTAGTTGATATATTCTTTTGATTGATCCTTCTAGGTAACTTCTTTTCATTTACCAAAGTCCACTCTTGCAATAAAGATTCTTTGGAAAAACAGAGAATAAAAATGCTATTGAAAATTAATATTAGCATGTTATTAGGAAATGTATCTAGCTTGTTGTTGTTAAGTACTGTGGAGTCGGTTCCGACTCATAGTGACCCTACACAGGGTTTCCAAGGCTGTAAATCTTTACGGGAGCAGACTGCCTCATCTTTCTCCTGCGGAATCGCTGGTAGTTTCGAACTGCCGACCTTGAGGTTAGAGCCCAATTCATAACCACTATGCTACCAAAGCTCCTTGCTTAGGTGTCAACTAATGGAAATGGGGCCAGGCATCACCACCATTGTTAGGGCATTATTGCATAGTCTAGTAAAATCCATATATGGTATAGTTGTATCACTCCAATTTCAGTTAAAATGGTGAAATCATCTAGTAAATATAAAGACACTTCCCTAAGACAGTTATTTCTGTCTATTTAAATATATGTGCATATGTATATATAAAATTTATATGTATGTAAAATCGTGTATATTTTAATAGATATATAAATTGTTCATTTATTTTAAATTCAGGAACTCCATCTCAGGATACATGGCCAGGTGTTTCTTCAAATGATGAATTCAAGAACTACAGCTTTCCAAAATATAAACCACAGCCTCTAATTAACCATGCACCTAGGTAATTTTGTCCTCTTTAAGTGAAAAGGGGGATGGGAAACCTATATATAGTTCCTTCAGTATTTTGATTTTAATATCTTAGCCAAAGTAGGGGAATATATATATTTATTTTCAGACCCTTCAACAAAATTCAGTCTCTTCATTATTAACCATATACATATGTCATACACTTATTCTTAAATATCTTAAGATGCTAATTTGTTCAAAAGTCCTTCTTCCTCTTTTAGATAAGTTTTTAAATTTAGTAATCATGACTCACCAGAATTAGGTATAAATAAAATTAATGTAAATATATGCAATTAGAATTCCAGAATTTTAGGTAGACACTCTTCCCAGAAAGAAGACTTTGGTTGATGGCTTTATTCAGTGTCATGAAGACCATAATGACATTTCTGGTTTGTTTTCTACAGAATTATTATATATATATTTTTAAAATTTAAAGAAATGCTATGAATGAAACCTGACATAAGATGACCCATCAGTATTTTGTCAGTAATGACAGTTTATATTTGAAGAGTATGAACTCTTTCAGACTCCTCAGCAAAATTTAATCTCTTAAATATTAACTATTAATATTGATTAAAGTTTCTTCTGATGTCTACCCCCAAACTTCCAATAACATTTGAGTCAGAACATTTTTATTTAATGAATGATACTTACATTTTTAGTAAGCAACATAAAAGAACTTACCCTTTGATTACATTTTTCTATCCTTTGAAGAAAATTAAGGTACCAAGATACCAAATAAGACCATGATTTTTTTAAGCCCAAAGTTATTCACAGTGCATACAATATAACACACTTGATCACATTTTGCTTTTATTCTCCATCTAGGAACAGAAACCTAGTCCTGATCCAAAAAGTATTTTTAAATTTTTCTTGTGGATTGATGTTCTTATTGTTAACTGTAGCAACTGGTATCATTCTGACTAACTTCCTTAGGAAGGATAAGATCATATACAGGGATTTTTTTTGTATGTCTCCACAAGTAGCTTAAATCCTATTTTTGTCATTTACATATTGCTTGCTGTTTGTAATGTTCATTGTAGAAAGGTGAAGCTCTTTTTTGAAGCAGATTCTCAGTGACTTTAGAACCTAATTTGTCTGTACCCAGAGAGCCTTGTACATGTGCCAGAATGGCAAACTGCTAAGGAGAGTAGTATGTGGGCTGCAGCATCTACAGTACCCACTGACAGCACTTGGGGAAAATATTTTTTTACTCATCATTATATTTTTGCCAGTGAAAGTTGGATAAGATCACTTAGTTTTGAGACAGAATGGTGGTTTTTAAAATTATGTAATATTAGTAATCTAATTTGCTCCTGAATTGAAGGCTAGTTGTTTATGATTTCTTCTTAAACATGTAGCAAGATAAGGTTTTTTAGTGATAAAACAGATCTGAGTGTATTTGAAAGCAACAAGAATGATTATTTTAAGGCAGATTGAAATACTTAGAAAATAAGTTTTATCTAAAGATTTCTATTAACTAAAATAAAAGGGAAGGAGCTGTTACTTGTTTTTTGTTGTTTCTAGGTTAGACTCGGAAGGAATTGAGTTGATAACAAAATTTCTTCAGGTAAGTTATATCTTATTTTACCATTGTTAAATGACAGTTAACTTCTAGGCTTAAGGTCCCTCATCTGTGAAACAAAGTTAGAAATACTGCTCTTATATTTGTAACAATTAAACAGTATTATTTATGGTAATATCAGGCATGCTTAGACCTCCTGGTTTGGCGTTGTAGGATCAGCACTAGACTGCAAACCACAAGGTCTGCAGTTCAAACCCACGAGCTGCTTCTCAGAAACCCTAATCAGGGTCACTATGAGTTTAGGACCTACTGGAAGGCACTTAACAACAACAAAATATTGTTTTAAGGCACGCGTTTGAAAACTACTATGTTGTTACTTAGTGTCCATCATGACCTAGACCAGTCTGAGGTAGTCAGTTGCTAGTATTGATCAACTATATAAGACCATGTTCACTGAAATTTATGTTCTCTTTTTATTCCTGGTGTGGCACTGTATAAGCACTGAACTGTAATCTGAAAGATCAGAAGTCCAAGCCCACCTCGGGAACCCTATACATTCACATCAGGGAGATGAAGGAAGAGCAAGGGTGATGCCATTCATAGTGGTTGTCTTTTATCTGCAAGCTTTCTTTGTAAATCTCATTGGTTAGAACATAATTGTAAGACAGTTTTGGGATTAGGGAACAGGATAGTCATAGCCAGTTTAATTTTAGAATATTTATGATTCATGATTAATCTGTAGGCGTTGGAAGCATTTGTTGTTATTATTAAGCATCGTCAAGTCAGTTCTAACTCATAGTGACCATGTATAGGGTTTCCAAGGAGCATCTGGTGGGTTTGAACTTACAGCCTTTTAGTTAGCAGTCCAGTGCTTATCCTACAGCACCACATCAGTTCAGTTCTGACTCATGACCACCTGATGTGTACACAGTGTAGCACTGCTCCATAAGGCTTTCAAGGCTGTGACCCTTCAGAAACAGATTGCCTTATCTGTCTTCTGGATACCTCTGGGTGGCTTGAAATGGCCAACCTTTTGGCTACTAGTCAAGCACTTAACTGTTCACACCACTCAGGAACTCCTGGATGCATTTAAAACTTGAAAAATGTATGGTTCTGTAGGATAAACACTGAACTGCTAACCCCGAAGTTGGTGGTTCAACCCACCCCCACCCTGTACAGAGTTGCTACGAGTCAGAACAGACTCAATGGCACTTAACAACAAGTACAGCAACAGTGGTTTAAGTAGTGTAATGGTAAGTACTTGAGTGCTAACTGTAGATCAGCAGTTCAAACCCATCAGTGGTTCCACAGGAGAAATGGCCAGACGCCTACTCCTCTAATGATTGTAGCTTAGAAAACTCTGTGACAGTTCTACCCTCTCACACAGGGTCCTTGTGAATCAGATTAACCTGATGCCATGCACCAGCATCAAAGTACTGGGTGTCTTTCCATCAGTCCTTTTGTTTTACTCAAAGAAAAGTAATGTCAAAGGTCATATATATTTATTTTTCAGCACTTAACAAAACATAAGTAATCTAAATCTTAGTTAAGATCCACATTAACTTGGAAATTTGGAACTCAGACGTAATTATTGCTTTTTAATCTCAGTAGCAACTCAAATTATGAGTGCATCTGGAGTATTCCAAATTGGTGCTTTGAGAAGTAGTCATCACATTAAGTAATCAAGATCTTTAAATGACAGTAGCTCTGAATGCTAACATGCCCTGTACAACCCAGAGAAAAAACTGATAAAGCAGTTCTTTATCTTTTCACAGTACGAATCTAAGAAAAGGGTTTCAGCAGAAGATGCCATGAAACATGTATATTTTCGAAGTCTGGGACCAAGAATACATGCTTTATCTGAAAGTAAGAAAGTTTAAATGCTCCCTCCTTCCTTTCCCATGTACTTTATTTTAATCTTTCTACAGTTGCAGAATGGGGTAGGTTAGGGATTTAGGGAGAGAAAATTGTTGGTTTTTAATCCTAAAATTCTAGTATTTCTTGTAATTAGATCAGAACTTTTCTCAAAGGAAGATGTATGTTTTATGTGCCTGTGTTTTAATTTATTCCTTATCACATTGAGCACATTCCAACTCCTCCTTAAGCAGACAGTAACTTAGTATTATCTAGGAATAGTCTCTCGTATTATTGGAGTTTATTGTCATTAAAGCACATTGTGGCTCTGATTCAGAGCTGTTCTAGAGTGGATTTCTGGCAGTGTTACCAAGAACAACCAATGCATAAGAGTGTTTTTTTTGTAAATGTAAATATCCTTCCTAATAGATAAATCTATTCCTTTACTGTGTGTGTGGTTGTTCTGACTTCACAATCCCACAGCAGTGGCAAGCATATTGTCAGTCACTAGCACGGCAGATTTCCCATGCCTAACTAACATGACTCGTTTGACTCAGCATATTTCTTTTTCAATCATTATTACCCCAGTATTTTGTTTTAAAATGAGTTAAGGTGACTGGGAAATTAGAAGAGTATTTGGAAGCTGAGTTGCCCAAAGCTTTCATTAATTTTCCATTTTCACTTATTAGACAATATTGATCCACTCAAGGTTTAAGTAGCAATCAGTGAAAAAGCTAATTGGAAATCAAGAATCCTTAAGACTTTCACTTAGAGTTTACTGGGTATTTTTTAATGAAGACTACCTCTCAGAGAAATAAGAGAGATGAATTATACATGTTTTCAAGATGATATTTACATATCATTGTTTATACTAAGTTTTGTAGTTTGAGCTAGTCAGTTATTGTTGCATTAATGTACTCCTTGTTTCTCTTTGAGAATCTGAAGATAGTGTGAGAGCCTGATACCTTCTCCCCCATTATAAGGAGACAGAGATAAAGGGCTGAGTGTATAAGAACCGAGTAGTGCATTTGAATTAGATTGCTTAATCCCAGTCAGCCCTAGAACAGACAAACACACTTGCAGGTGCTTTAAAGTTGAGTAGGGTAAAGAAAGGTTCTGAATGTGAATTACTTTCCTTGGTTTTCATGCTAAAACAATGGGACTAAAAGGAAGATATTTAAGCGGGGCTGTTAATTTGTACATACTGTATAAATGTTTATAGATATGGAATCAGTATGTATATTAAAAAAAAATTATCTGTAGTTCATTGTGTTTGTTTTAATAGTGTTAGACTGATGATGTGTGTCTATACATTTTAGGTGTTTCAATATTCAGTTTGAAAGAAATTCAATTGCAAAAGGACCCGGGTTTTCGAAATTCTTCTTATCCAGAGACAGGTGTGTTTGTCATAAACCATTTCACGTGTCGATCATGAATTTTTGCATGGAATCAAGCTTTTGGTTTATAGATTGGTCAGTAAAATTATCGATGTAAAAACCAATGTACAGTGCATTCCACAACCTTGTATGTTTAGCATTGCACGTGCTCACTTTTTCGTATGATGTGGGCAGCTCAGTAAATCTTCAGAGAGAAATCTGACTCAGTCAAGTCAGAGATCGTGAAAGCTACAGATGGCACAAAGACCTTGACAGGTGACCTGGCTTGATCACTGAGCACGCCATGCCTGGTACCTGAGGCAGAAGACACACCTTGTGCTTCCTTAGTCATCAGGTTCGTCACTTCGGAGCATAGACGCTGTAGACGGACCCAGCAACAACGGGGTCACTTAAGGCGGTGCTGAGCACTCTTGCTGTGGAATATTAGCATTTCCTGGTGGGAACATTAGCCTCCTAGAGTCACCAAATACTGTATGTGGGATAAATCTGAACCTTGAACTGCTTCATGAAATGACTTTATATTTTAGGACATGGGAAGAACAGAAGACAGAGCATGCTCTTTTAAGTCTGATAGCATGGTTTCAAGCCCAGCCCCCCAGCCTTTCTTATCAATCAAGAACTCGGATCTGAAGGCAATTATTTCTTTTGGTGGACTTGGAACCTCTGTTTGTCTACACTGTCCTCTTCACAGTGGAGTCTTTTTATTTCAGACCTACAGATTGTTTTTATATTTGTTGTCACAGTGTGACAATTTTTTTGTACAGTTGGTTTTAAGGTCTCCTCTGCCATTAGAGCCAGTAGGTTACAGCTGTTGATGTAACTGTAGCTGCACTTGTTGTGCAGTACTGAGAAACACAGTGCATTATTTATTGCGGAATCATTGCTGCTAAATAACTGCTGTCTGTTTATTTAACACAACAGTTGAATGCCTGAAGAAGTTGCAGTGGCTTTATTATATGTGAATGCATCTGTTTCTCCTCACAAATTGTTTTACTGCTGCAATTTTTTGTTTGTTTGTTTGTTTTTTAAATTAAACTGCAGTGTTTCCTGGAATGTAAATTTAGCTTTGCTTAAAAGTAAAATAAGTGAGCCATTTTGAACATTCTAAGTTCATGCTATATACGTTCTTACGGAACATTGACAAATAGAGTAGCAAAGAGATTTATAAGCACATTAATATTTAGGAAAGCATGCGATGCAGAAGTTGATTCAAGCAAGTGAATACCAGACATTTTGGGGATCTCACATTAGATATCAGTAATTAAAGCACCAGAATTATTTTATCTATTTTTCATTTTAGAAACTGTTTTTGTTGTTGTGGAGTGCTGTTGTGCAGTCCTATATACAACAAAATGAAATACTGCCCAGACCTACGCCCTCCTCACAATCATTGCTATGTCTGAATCCATTGTTGCAACCATTATGTCATTTAATCTCGTTGGGGTCTTCTTCTTTTTCCTTGACCCTTGACTTTACCAAGCAGGATGTCCTCCAGGGGACTGGTCCTTCCTGATAACGTGTTCAAAGTATGTGAGATAAAGTTTCGCCATCCTCATGTCTAAAGAGCATTCTGGCTGTACTTTCTCCAAGATAGATATATTCATTCTTCTGGCACTCCATCGTATATCCAATACTTTTCAGTAACATCAAATGCATCAATTCTTCTTCAGGCTTCTTTATTCATTGTCCAGCTTCCACATGCATGGAACCAAGGTTTTAGTTTATAAATTGGTCAGTAAAGTTATTGATGCGGTAGAAAAATTATGTCGAAATACATGTCTTGGGTCAGCTGCACCTTAGTCCTCAAGGTGACTTTGCTTTTTAGCACTTTAAAGATATCTTTTGCAGCACATTTGCTGCTGCTTCTAAGGGTGTTGATTGTGGATCCAAGTACAATGAAATCTTAGGCAACTTCATTATTTTTTCCATTTGTCATGATGTTGCTATTTGATCCAGATAGTCTTTCATCTTCATCAGTAAGTGCTTCAAGTCCTCTTCACTTTCAGCAAGCAAGGTGGTGTCATCTGCATATTGCAGGTTTAATGAGTCTTCCTCCTAACCTGATGCCACATTTTTCTTCACATAGCCCAGCTTCTCAGATTCTTTAGATTTTAGAAATAATCTACTGCATATTCCTGGATATTTGTATACTAATGTACTTAATTTTATATTGTTTTAATTCAGTTAAAACTAAACCATTCAAGTCCAGTCAAACATAAAATGTTTTGCTCTTGTTTGTTTTAAATACGTTTCTTTTATTAGAAAGGATGATGCTTCATTGGGGAACAATATATTTCAATAGGGGCTGTGTATGTGTGTGTATGTGTGTGTTTTAATAACATTCACTTGGAATCAGCTGAATGCTGTAAAATGTCTTTGAAATGAGCCATGATAAACTACAATGAAAGAAATGAGAACTTAGAAGATTGTTTTAAAGGGTTGTAGGTATTATCTGTTTACCAGAGATAGTATATATTACAGTTTTGATTATGCATCTCTTTGACCATCATAAACACACCTTGATATTACTAACAGTGTTTTTAGCATTTTTGTTCACTTTTAAGGACTATTCGTTTAGTGCATCTTACAAACTATAAATCTTAATTGGTATATTTTGAAATGGTAATGTAAATTTTTTTTGGCTTATAGATCATGAAAATAGTCATAACTTAATTTTTTTTTTTTTTTTTTTTCCTGACGTTCACTGTAAAACATTCAGGGGTCCTACCATTTCTGTTCAGGAAATCTTGTAGTTTATTGATGTTATTTAACAGTATTAAGTGAATTTTTGTATATTTCATTTTAACTTTATTTGTGAATAGTGATTGTGGCATGTTTGGAGTTGTTATTTTAATATTTCACGATACTGAAATTTTAATTTTTTAAAAAAGAATTTTCTGGAAGAAACAGATTCATGTGTAATGGTGAATATTGGACCACTACTGCTTTTCACACTTGTAAATTGGTTTTCTGTTAAACCTGTAGTCTAACAAACTGCTGTTACTTCTAACTGACAGACATGTATTAATATTGTACTTTGAAGGTTATAAATATTATGTGGAAATTCCTCCATTTTGTTTTGAAATTTATAATAAGAAAATCTCCATGTTGCTAAAAATGTGCTTTTACTGAGTCACAGTTCTTTCTTGGGGAGGAAGGCTGTGCCGAATTTACTTTTATGGGTCTCATTCTTAAGGCACTGGAGTTTCATTGTGCCAGTGGTGATACCTAAATTATATCTCTGCTGTTTCTTTTGTTTCTCTGCTCTGAATTTATAGGATAGCATTCTCAATTATAGAGTGTTAGATTTATCATTTCACAGGAGTATGTGTGTTTGATTTGTTGCAGATTTGATGTGCAGTTAAGCAGTAGCTTATTTGAACTGCTAAAAATTTGCAAAGGGCTAACAACATTATCAATCTTTTTTTTTAAAAAAAATTTAGTATTTGCCACATGGTGCTATTTCCTGATAATATCAAGATGTAGCAGGTGACTATTGACAATAGCTAGTCTTTGGGCCCAGAGTCCTGGTGTGGCACTGTGGGTTAATGCGCCAGACTGCAAAGCTGTTTGAACTACAAGGTTGGCAGTTCAAGCTCACCAGCTGCTCCTCGGAAACCGTACACAGGTTCACTATGGGTCAGATCCGACTCAATGGCATTTAACAACAACAACTTAACAAGTCTTTGGGCCCAGGAGTCCTGGTGTAGCGCTGTGGGTTAATGCACTGGACTGCACAGTTGGTTTGAACCGCATTTTGATGAAGCTTTCTGCTCACACAAAAATTTAAAGCCTTGGAAATCCTATACAGGGTTGCTATGAGTTGGAACTGACTTGATGGCACGTAGGAACAAAACCAGTAATCCTTTTTAACTTATTGTTAATGTCAGTGGTTGTATTTTTTAAAATATTCTAATCTTGTTTCTTACATTGATTCTTCCTTTTTGATTGATAAGCTAATTTATATCAAAATGTTAAGCAGGAACACAAGCTTTTGAGCAGCTTGCTGAAGAATTTGTATACTTTCCTGTGCTCCAACCTTGAAATCTCCAATGATTTCAACACATTATTTGAGACCCCAGGAAAGCGTAATGTTTTCCACTCTTTTTCATTTAAAAGTGGTTTTAGATAGTGGAAATTTCTCTCTATCATCATCAGTCCCTGTGTAGTGCTGTAAGGTAAGAACCAGACTACTAACCACAAGGTCAAGTGGTTCAAACCCACTAGCTGCTGCTTGAAAATCCTATACATGTTTGCTGTAAGTTAGAACAGACTGTAAGCCTTAGCAACCACCACCTTAACAAGAAAACAACAACAACAACCATCAGTCTTAGCTGGAGTTAATAATCATTGCCCATCACTGACCCAGAAAAGACTACTGGAGTTGCTAATTTTTACTAAAGCATGAAGAATATAACCAAGCGATTTAATATAAAGGTAATTTATTTAGAAAATAACATGATTTTTTTACCTATGATGATGGAGAACCCTTCTCATTGGTGGCTTCTCCCCATAAGAAGTGGAGAAATTTCACCTACTGGGAAAAATAAACATTTCTTGAAGGTTATTCTTCAGATCACAGCCTGTAAATTACACCTTTGTTGTGCAAAGTGGTATAAGGGCTCAGTGTGCATGTGCAAGAAGAGGACACACAGACAGACAGACAGACAGACAGACAGAGTGGTTATCATGCTGGCTACACCTATCATTTTCTTCCACTGAAGCCCCTACTGCTGTAGTAATGCGGAGGTACCTGGACTAGGCCATAAAGGTGAGCATGAAGAAGTAGCTGAGAACCACCTGGATGATGCACAGAACTTTTCAGGTGAGAAAAGCTCAGCATCTCCAACAGTCTTGGGTCCTTAAAAGAGTATGGTTCCGATGGGCTTTGGTCCAGGCATGGATTTGTTGTGAGTACAGGCTTGGGATTTGTGCAGCAGGTTTTCTCAGTATGCTACCGAGTTCTTAGAGCAGTTTTGGTGCCAACACAGCCACAAAAGCTTCAGCCATTAACCCTACTGTATTAACAGTGGATCCACATTCTTACAGCATAACAGGTCATACTCATCTTTGTGGTGTTATCATCTTACCTATGGATTTGTGAGGCTGAGGTGGTCAAGTGTTGAAAGGGTGTTATGCTGTGAGTGATAGAATGTGTGTCTGGATGGTGTGAATGTGTGATTTTTTTCTAGAAACAATGACGATGAGCCAAAGATTGCTTTTAGAGCCACTTCTGTCATCGTGTTTGTTATCTACCTTTGTGGTCTAGTGCAGTTGCAACAGAACTACCACAAATGTATGACCTTTACAAACACAAATTTATTCTCTCACAGTTTGTTGTTGTTAGGTGCCATGGAGTCGGTACTGATTCTCACTGAGCTATGTACAACAGAAGGAAACCCTCCTTGGCCCTGTGCCAACCTCACAATTTTTGCTACGCTTGAGCTCATTGCTGCTGCCACTGTGCCAACCCATCTTGTTGGGGGTCTTCCTCTTTTTCTCTGACTCTGTACTCTACCAAACATAATCTCCTTCTCCAGGGACTGGTCCATGCTGATAGTATGT